AAATAAATTATTTTTAACGTAGGTATAGATAATAATACTAATTAAAATAAATATTATTAGCAATCATTAAGATTGATACCTGTTTTTCAATTTTGTTTAAAAATTGTTTGGGCCAGGCATCTTCACGACTACCACTTTCCATCCTTCTCATGTCAGCTAAAAGATCATCCATTTTGAAAGTATCATTTTCTATGGAACTAAAAAATTGATCWGCCAACTAAAAACAAACAATTAAATTCAATATTAAAATAGTCATCGGTTTACCAATCATATTTTAATTACCTCTCCGGTGCTTGATTCTAAAAAACGTTGACCGTTGTTTTCTCCAAATTGCGTTGATTGTAGGTCTTGATCCTTAAATGCGTGGTCTTGCACAAAATGCGTGGAAAATTCAACTAAAGAATTGGTACCACCACATTCATTTTCAACTAAATCACGTATCGACATTTTGAACTGGAAAAATACATTAATTACACTAAATATTGAMGTTTTATATTGAAATTAAAATAATTAATTAAATACAATAGCCAATAAGTAATAATAATTATACTATTTCCAGCTAGAAAACACGACGATTTTAAACATCCCCAGGTGACACCCTGCAGCCATCAAGAGGGGTTCCACTATGGTATACTATGTCACGTGTAAGATTCACAGAAAACCGATTTTTGTTGGCCCACGCGTTGTGCTCACTGGATAGAGTATAAATATTTCTGAATTTTTATTAACTAATATAAACTTTAAAATTACCTACCTGTTATACTGAGATACTATAGTTTATAACTATTCAAATTTAATTTGGATAAATTTAGTTTAGTTTAATCTAATCGACATAAACGTTAAATACATACTATATTATATTATTATCATGTAATATAGGTGCCCATTTGTATCTTCGTAGACGTAATTTCAAGATAGTTTTATCAGTTTTATGTCAAGTATTAGTGTTATTTCAGTAAAGMATTATTTAAAATTTTAATAAAATACTTAAATACTGTTATATAACACGAAAATGCAACTACATACCTAWTACCGCTATAAAATAGAAACATTTGTTGGTGATACCGGTTCAAAATGTATATGTACCTACCTAATACCGGTATAATTTTTAATAATTTAATAATAAACTCAGTTGACCAGTTATACAAGTATATATGGGATTTATAATGTTCAATAAATTTACAATTTTAGAGGTTTTTATTTTCGTATACATTACTATACAGAATGCATATAAATGCACAATTTTCAATAATAGCTCATCAACTAATAATATTAAAATGATTCTTCCAAGTAAATATAAGCTTATTCAATTTCACTTAAAAYTAAAACATTGGTAAAATAATTGTTAAGTATTGCTGTATTTGAAAAATTGGTTATGTAAACTTATTGAAATGCAATTAATCAAAATAATAATTAAATTCCAACAATAAATGTATAATATGAATTATATGTTTTTTCATGATAGAATAAAAAATTAACCATATTTGAATAGTTATAATTAAAAAACTAATAAGTAATGTTAATATCAAATTGTATGAAATAAATGAAAAGTAATTCACAAACAAAGTGAGCGGTTTTGTAATATAGATACATCGTACATATAGTGTAGTGCAGGGGTCACCAAATAGCGGACCATGGTCAAATTTTATCCGGCCCGCAGACAAGAAAAAATTGTAAAAACCGTTTTATTATATGTTATAGTGTTGAATTTATCATTTTAGTTCATCAGTTTTTACACGATTCTGCAATTTTGATGGCCTGCGAACAATTTCTAGATTCCTAACGTGGCCCTTAAAAATATTATTTGGTGACCGCTGATATAGTAAGTAGTGACACTGATTACTCAGAGTGACCTCTCGTGAGTCGTTAACTAGGCTGGTGCCGACACCAAACAGTCCTGAGCCATTGGATCTAACCACTTCCAACTCTCCCACATAACATTTTGAGAAATTTAACACATTTGTGCACTACTAAACTTTTCAAATTGCAAGTGGTTTATACTAGGGGCGTCCTTAGGGGTGGAGAGGGAAGATACCACTCACGTGAGGTGGACTGACTTGCTTAGTAATTAGTAATTACCAATTATTCATTTTTATAATTTATGTTAAATTACTTGAAATTTTTTTTAATCAATAGAATCCAGTAGTGCAGATACTTTTTTATCACTTATTTGCGATTATTTATACAATAAGAATATATAATATAGATTCATGATATACGAGTATATTTAATACGGTTCACGGTTCAACATCACACTAATTGTGATGTACATTAAAAAAAATATTTGAGGAGAACAAAAATGTAATGATTGAGTTAGATGTAAAAATGAAGCAACCAAGAATTGAAAAACAAAATCAAAGGTGTAGTACATTAGACAATTCTATTGAAGAATACTATTTATTCCTATTATAGATAATAAGTTAGATAGTTAGAAGATATCAAACACTGTTTCTTGAATGACAAAAATAAAACAATACATTTGCTAATGCAACTCATTCCATCTAACACCACTAAGATGTCTTCAAAAAACTAGTGATGCATTTARGAAAATATTTGTTTTTAAAATATTTTTAAATAATTATTTTTAAATTTTAATACATTCATGTTCTGAGGTGAATTAAAACTATAGAAGACTAAATGGACCACTCAAAAGAATGAAGATACCTAATTTAAGTATATAGTAACTATACAACTGTTGTATCTTGTATATAGGATTAAATATTCAAAATGAAGTGTTCTATGCTTTTGATGACAAATTTTTCCCATTTATAAAAAAACTATTATTAGTCTTAGGTACACATCATGTGTACAAGCTCTGCAACTCCAGAGCGTAGTTTTTCCACTCTTAGAAGGTTCAAAGATTGTATAGAAATTAATAACATGCATTTAGAAATAATGTCTAATAGTCCAAACACGTTGAATACCTATTTGTTTTTGAACATGACTTTTTGTGTTTTTAACACGTTTGAATTATATTCAAATGTAGTTTTATTTTAAAAYGTATGTTCTATTACGACTATGATGATTTTTTAGTTAATAATATTAATTTAACATTTCAGTGACACGAATGTCAATTATTATCTAGCAGGGACTAGTTCTAAATATCAAAAGATAAAAAAATGGTTCTACACTCAAGCCTAAGTAAATTAATATTAATTTTTTCATCCCCCACACCCTCCTTAACCAAGGGTTTGAAACGCACCTGATTTATACTAGTATGTAAATTCATCCACAGAATAAATTAAATTACAATTTTGATTCGTCCATGTTCATTCCTTGTTCATGTTTCATTCCAGTATATAATGTCATGTAACATGTTCATAGTCCATGGCCCATGATAATACTTATTATTATAGTAGTAATATTACTATTGTTCAATTATTACTATCATGGTTTCTATAAAATGATACAACAAACATTTCATTACAATGACATTTTTGACAATTGACGATAGTCGATAGATGCTGACGCGACAGCAGTAACCGATAACATTTTGATGCCGTGATGGCAATTGAATAGGTGCCTAATAAATTGCATAGACATGGTGAGTGCCGAATGGTGACTAATGACTATTCTATTTTATTTATACTTTGGTACAAYATATTGTCTGATCGTTTCGGGATTGATAATCAGTAAATTCAGCGTTCACTGCTCTCGAGTTTATGTGACAATGAGTCAGCGCCAGTAAATAAAAAAACTAAAAGGAGTTTTAAAAAGGAGGCAAGTAAATATAACCACTCTGTCTATACTTAGACGTCGAGTGTACTTCGTCACTGAAAATTATAATTTGCAAAAAAATATATTRAATTTAAATTAATTGACAAATTATTGCACATAATAAACAAATCAGAACAAAATATGGTTTTCGCTAATACATTACAAAATATATGATTTATTTGTAATGCTATTAAAATAATTTATTTTACTATTACCATTGATTATAGAATATAATTATAATATAATTATAGATATTCTATAATCAATGGTATTACTAGTAACTCGGTAGGCTGAATTAATTTTTGTTGAAAATTGTATTAAGAGGACGTCGCACCCGCATGTTTTCTCCGTCTTACACGCGTACGATATAGCAAATTGTACGCTCAGAAGAACACGTGTAGCTCCGTTAGTTTAAAAATTAGAGTGAATTTACCTCTTATAAAATCTATAGGTAAGATTATTATCTAGACAACTTCGTAAGCTTTTTGTTATATTTTAATTTTAAAGCGAGTTATGACTATTTCAAGATGTACAAACAATTTACAATGTTAAAATGCTCATAACTCATTATAAAATAAAAAGCCTATGAGGTTGTCTAGATAACAATCTTACCTTTAGATTTTATAAGAGGTAAATTCACTCTAATTTTTAAACTAACGGAGCTACACGTGTTCTGCTGAGCGAACAATTTGATATGTCGTACGCACGTAAGACGGAKACAACATATGCGGGTGAGACGTCCTCTTAAGAAAAAGTAAAATGCATTAGACGTTGTTGAACGGTTGGACTCTTGTTATTTTTACCAGTAGTTTTTTYCTAAATTTATATCAAGTGTAGTAATACACGTTACAAGTTCAGTAGGTAGTAGGTACCCACGAATGATATTTTTTAAATACAACAAAATTGTTATGCTTTGATTAAAACAATAAACTTTAAAAATCTCATAAATGGTCAATAGTACATAATTAGTATTGACTGAAGAAATATATGAAAATATAGTCGATGATAAAATACTAACTAGCATCAACAATGAAATTAATTTTTCGCGAAAATAACAATAAACATTAGGAAAACCGAAAAGGGTTTTGAATTATGGAAACAACAATATTACCTAAATGTGGTCATCAAAATGTCTTTGAAAGGCCATGGCGGCATACGTGACATCACAATTATTTTGATGTACGGATGTACCTACTTACACTACGGATATTTTGGATTTTTATTATAGATAGGTATACGATTTAAAATGCAAATTGATTATATAAGAGTGTCGAGTGTCGCTGGTCTTAGTGCAAAATCATTTACAGAATTGAATTGCATTTGCTTCAACAAAAAAATTATAATCAGAATACTTGTTTTAATAATTTAAAAATTGTAATCAAATAAAAAGTATGAAGATAAAATATAATAAAATACATGCATATTGGAATACTGCCCAGATCCAGATGACATGGGTAACTTTAATAAGTAATAACTATTTAATAAATAATTCTCAAGCATGAAAAATATTTCAAAAAATTTGAATTTCAGTTAAATAATAAAAAATAAACGTTAGCAAATTATTTCAGTTTATCTTGTATAAAGGTAACCATGTAATTTTCAATTTCTATTTCTGCAACCGGAAAATCGAATACAAGGTTAAAAAAAATAACAATAAACTATTTTAATTTGTAACTAGAACTAAAAGCATCCGAAAATAGTTGGTCAACATTTTTTTATATAGATTTAAAGTTTGTACATAATGGATTTTTTTGTTACATTATTACAGCGAATTTACAATCTGTATACAAATAGAACAATAAATGACACCTACCTACAATGTAATTTTTTTATTACGTGAATACATGATTGAGGAGGTCGTTCATTGACAACTCTTTAGACAATTTCTTGACAGAAATTATTGTTCGTTATAAAAACAAAATAGCAGCATCGCTAGACCATYATATTTTGTCTTTTTACTATTATCTTTGATGATTTACAGGAAATAATAATGACGATTTATTTTATATTGAAAAATCAATGGAATTCTTGTGATCTAATAATGTTTGGTAGCGAAGAAATGGTAAGAATGTAATGTATTTGTGGAGATTTTGTAAATATGTTGAAGTGAATACTGTATATATTATTAATTATTACGTTTAAAAAATATATTGATTCTGGTTAAACTTGTAGCTTGGATGTAAGACTTGAAATTTTAACATAATCTTGAAATCAATTACAATATTATTTATTACAATAAAATGTAATAATAGTATAAGGTACCTACCTATAATTACTAGCTTTTTTTTTATCAATTTATATACGTACTAAGTACCTAAAGGTACTGAGGTACCTATAGAGATAAAAAACTTAAAACTAGTGGTTATCACATACCTTTAACTGATAAACTTTAGTTAACCGAGAAAAAAACTCAAATAATATTCGTGTATATTTAAGGTGTACACAAATATAGAATATATAGAGAAAAAAAGATGTTAATTTATCAAAATTTAATTAATAGTATATTAGTGTGCATAACTACAACATTACAATAAATGGCGACATTTAATTCATTTAAAAAAAAAATAAGTAGAAATACATTATTAACCAATTACCRTACACGTCCATGCAAATAATGGGAAATTAATAATTATACACAGAAATGTTTAAGTACATATAGCAGACTATATGTATATAATATATTATAAAGGTAGGTACTTGGTACATAATAATATATGCATGTCGCATCATACCTTCATACAATAAACTACATAAATTTATACAAAAATTATTACGTTGCAGGATGGTCGGTGTCGAAAATATAGAATTACCAACTACGATAGTTTAATTTCATGATTCAGCAATTGAGCAACGCTCAAATACTTGTAGATCGTAGTAATTATTGCTCATTTATAGTATTTATACGAGAAAAATTTTACCTGTGTTATTAGAAAAATTGACATTAGATTAGATACTTGATTAATTTTTTTAAATCGTGCGCAAACGGCTTGCACGAATTGTTAAATGTTAGCCATTAGTTAATGTCCATCGCTTACAAGAATATTCTCTACGATAATTGCGTGGACTTAATGACCATAATAATAACGAGCTATAAGATGGTCAAGTTAGGWAGATATTATAATGTATTGCAATATTGCCGTGTTGGTACCTAAGTTATACATGCAATTATTTGACCGAATAATTTTACATACATTATAATATTCAGGACCTATGCATGTGTCATTATCCTAGACGTACGCAGCGGAAATAATCGATGGTTATAACTTAAATAGAACCTACATGCATAAATAATATTATATAAATATTTAATACAGCGAGGTATAATCTGCAACAAGTTTTAAGGATTTTTCATTTCTATTAAAATAACTTTGACATTTTACATACGAATGAACTTATATTTATGGGTTCATTTCAGCAGCTAGCAAAATAACGTCTAATAAATCAATTTTTTTTTCTATATTCATTTACATAAAATGTTAGAATTAAATTTATTATTCTAATTTCTTTTATTCAATAAAAGTACTTACGTTAAGACTTAAGAACAACGCGAGAATTTAAAACAAGTATTATTTATATCACATACAAGAGATTTCCCAATATTGGTGGTTCTTAATAGTCCATCCGTTACTCGTTTATGAACTATGAATCCGATTGGCGATTGCACATTAGAGCTGTATTATTTATAATAATGTGGTCACCTACCTGTTGCACGTGATTTGGATAATATTATATATTTCCGCGATCAACAGATATTAGATCATTTGGATGTATCATATTGTATTCGTGTAGGTATGTATTTACTTTTGTTGGAAGACAGGGACGAGTGGAACAGGTACACATGAAATTTTCTCCTGACGGTTTGCCGTGCATACAACACTTTACTAATCGATCGGGTTCGATAACCTTATACCAGATGGCAGATAGTATATAATATACTAATTATGATCGGTTGTGATTGCGCGTGTTCCAAAGACAATACAGGGTGATTCACCAAACATTCTCGTTCTTTTTTTCATTAATAATGAAGTTATTCAAAATCTGATTTTTGGAATCTTTAAATATAATCAAAGACCGTATTTTTAAATTCTTGAGATTTTTGTACCACTTAAGGAGAATCCAGTGGCAACACTAACATTTGTTTTTCAAACGAGAACTCAAATTTTTAACTGTTAATTATTTAGAGAATAGTTTTTTTGAGAAATTTTATGTATCGAAATCAAAATTCGAACGAGTAGTTTCGWATAGTTATTAAAATGTTTGTACTCAAGATAGAAGTTCTTAAAAATCGTTTGACAAAGGTATAAAACAAAGGTACTATAATTGGAACTATATAGTATATTTATGATACTTAGGTCGTTTTTACAAATTATGTTGATCGATTAATATTAATGACTCATATTTMCAAATCCGCCGTAGACCACATATCATATAAACCTAAATCACGGAMCTCTTATCCTTAGAACACAAAGTTACATAACTCAAAAACTACTCATTAGTTTTGATTTCAATACTTCAAAATTCTCAAAACAATTATTCGCTGAATAATATATTACCTACTCAAAAATTGGGGTTCTCGTTTGAAAAACAAAAGTTTGTATCACCAAAAGACACTACTTAACTGGTATAAAAGTTTTTAAGGTTTTGAAAATATTATGGTCTTTGATTATACTTAAAGATTCCAAAAATMAAATTTTGAATGACTTCATTACGAAAAAAAAGGGGTGAGCATGCTCGTTGAATCRCCCTGTATAATATGCGTATGTACTCGCATCACTATAATTAATCGYTATTCGCCATGTCATCATAATATTAAACATGTACGATAACGACTATATTACGACAAACGAATACAAAATATTGTATTTTCGAACGACACTCAACATGCCATCACACATTATTTGCAGTCGATATTTATCTCGACGATATATTTTATTTTTTATAACATACATAGGTAGTAGGTACGAATAAACGACTTGATGCTTAATGTACCTGGATGGCTGTAGACWCTATATACACTATATACCTATTAGGTACCTACGTATAAACACACTTGTACAGCTGCACTGTACACAAAACATTAACTACATCTCTACATTTACTATGTACCCAAAATCTATTAACAGCCGCATTGGCTATTGGCTTGTAAAGTTGCTATATTAGTATAATATATAAATATGTATATATTATGATCACTCTAATAAGKGACACTCAATCTAAGTGTCAAGGTTAACCTTTGTAGGTTCTGCCTCCATGGGTAGGTGCCAGGTGTGTATTTCAAGATGGCAATGGATAACCTAGCGGCGATCATGTACCTGAAAGCTTTTTTTTTAACCACRTTGTTTTTGTTATTTTAACATTTGAGTGATGTGTTTTTTTATACGGTAGAATAAGTGATGTGATCCTGCGATCAATCCTTAAAGCATGTTTTTGGTAGCAATTTGTTTGTAAATCGTACTTTAGACTGGCCTATGATAGACGTTATAACTATAGTCGTTATAATATACAAGGTAATCATTAAATGGTGGAAGGTATCAGTCAGCGGTGTACATTTCGATTCAGCATTTGCGACTAGATGTCACTCCAAAGTCTAAATCCACAGAAGCGAGTGGTGTGTCTGACGAGGTGTAAACACTCAACACTTTTAATTATAATGTATAAAAATAGATAACGGTATTTGTTTTAGCTCTTTATATGAAATAATTATTCAATTAACAACACCGTGTACGTGTGTAATAGGTGTAGAATGTACCAAATGTGTGTTTGATCTATCATCAATATCAATAATCAATTTTTCGATGATACTAACGACGATTTCTCATCATAATGAATCTGCAGTTCTAGAAGTATAGGTATTGACTATAATAATATATTGTTATTGAAGTAGTGGCTTTGTGGCTTCCACATTTGTATGATTTTTATAAGGTCATTGCGAGCGCGCGTTAATCAATTGTTGACAATTTGTTGTGTTGATATAGGAAGTATTATTTATTTATACATAATAATATAAAAAATAACACCATCGTGCAAAATAATTTAAATAATATTAGAATAAAGAAACGCAGTGGCGTAACTAGCAGCAAATGTTTGGGGTAATACTGTAATAGCGAACACTTTTATATGCTTCACCTTCTCCAATAAGCATAATGGGTGAGTACCACTTATACGCATAACTTCCTTCTGAATTATTTTAAAATAATCATTATACTTACAGTTTTATAACACGAAAATTCACAAATAACGTATTTTTTTTTTTTGTTAACGATTTAAAGATAAATAAATAGTAAATACAAACTGACGCGGATTTTTTTTATTAAATCATATAAATAATTTTGGGGTAGCAAAATGATTCTCTTACGACCACATAAAAATGTTTGTGGTCACGACCACTACCYCTCGCTACCCCATAGTTACGCCACTGAAGAAACGGTTAGACAAATGTTATATGGGTATGTATTAAGCAGGTAAATATTGTCATATATTTAATTATGTAGTCTAATCATTAAACAAGAGTTTTTGTAATCAAAACTACTTATATTTCTAAGCTATTCTGCAATGGCTGTTTTGAAGAWATAGAATTTAATAAAAATATAATTTACGTAATTAAATTATAAAATACAATCTACAGTAGTTATATATTATTATTGTAGATTTTTTTTAATTATTAAAAATATAGTAATAAAATGTATCAAACGTTTGTTAACTTAATAAAATAAACGAGATTGATTATTTCTGAGAGGAAAAATAAAAYCAAAATTACATTTACATAAATTGTAGACTATAGTACTATACTGTATGTAACACAAGTAGTTCAGCCACATTTTATGGAATTCATAATGAATAATTAAAATTAAGATACTAAATAGCATGGTTATAGCAAGTACATTTGTTAAAGAAATTTATAATTATTAGTTCATATCATATTACTTAATTCACCCAGTTACTTAAACCATAAAAATTAGAATAAGGTAACTAAACCAGCTTCAAATAACATCCTGAAATAAGTTGCATGATTAAATGACCATAGGTTGGTCAAAATTCACTAGGGTTGCTATTTTAACCCGTGTAATATAGGGATTATTGATACTTTTAGAAAATATATGCATTATTTTGAACCATGACCCATTATAAATATTACAGCTTGTACGGTTATACCTGTATTGATACATATGTGCATGTTTATATTTTATTAGCGTCCAACATTCTATAGAAACAAATTTAAGTGTAATAATATGTATCGGGCACCGACTTACTGTGAGTCTGTGAACACGATTGCTGGGTATAAAATAAATTAAATAGTATTAGCGAATTGTATTATTATTATAAAGTAATAAAAAAAAAAAATGTTTTTAAAATATTTATATATGCATAGGTATAAATGCGTTATTTTAAGAGCTATAACATTAATAATGAACCATGGTTCGAAATATGGAAGATATTTTCTAAAAACGGCATGAGTTTAAGTAGTAACCACAGTAGTGATCACAGACCAGACTGTGGCCATTAAATCAAGCGACTCATTTCAGGACGTTTTTCCACGCTGGTGGCCGTACGAGATTGATATTCTTATACTAGTTATCAYGTTTGAAACAATGAAACATTACATGGTTATTATAAAAATAATGTTATCATTAAATATATTTAATATTTGTTAAAAAAAAAAATATGTTAATAATATTGGTTAAAATTATTTATATTTTCTATAAAAATTGATTAAGTATTTTAAAACAATATGTATCCTGATTATTTTGAATGTTTTTATTGTTGTATACCATTACTACAGAAAGGAAGATGAAGTAATGGATTCATCGACAGTTGAAAGAGACAAGGCGCAGTGTGTTTGAGTTGTAAAACGCATATATAATAGAAAATAAATATTATATAACTCTAAATAATAAAGCTGTTTTAAATTTAATAACTTAAATTTACCTACTATCTGATGAAGCACTCATGTTATATACTAACAATATTATTCTAAAAACCAGATTAATTTAATAATAAAAACTGAGTAAAAGCATGCACATAGCAYACATACTCAAAAATTATTAAACCAGAATACAAATAAACATGAGCAATAATTAAATATTAGATATATAATAAGAACAAAAATAAACGTCTAGTTAAAATTTTATTTAATCACCCAAAATAATAAATGTATACTCTTCACAAAATAAATACTTGATAACATTTGTGGACAATAATAAACAATTATACATCAACCAATCTAACATTGTGCTTCACTTAATTGTTAGATCAATTGATATGTATATTAATAAAATAACAATATTTTATCCATTTATCTTAACATTATTTACAAGTGTATCAAAATATGACTATAAAGTACCATTGCAWACTTAATTATTTACAAAGAAAATATGAGATATGAACACATAATTTTTAGTTTTTATAACATTATCATAACCATAAAATAAAATATTAGTTATTTAGGTAGGTACACTGTAATATAATAAACTAAAAATAAGGGATGTTTGGTAAATATATTAAATTTTAATCAATTTTTATGAACTACCTAGATAATGATTGTTTGATGCCAAATACAAATAATTAAAATTAACTATATTTTGTCAGGTTCAATTTTTTAAACTATATAAATGATAAAAACTTATACATTAAAATGATAACAATGGACAATTTGAATAAATATTTGTAAATACTGGTCTTTATAATGTAAATGACAAGTAATATAATTTAGATAGGATTGAAATAGTAGGAAAGCAGAGGTTTGTCATAACATACATTTTTGGAATCAATTTTTCTTCCATATTGATAAACTATTTAAATTATTATGTAATTAATTAATCAAGGTATTTCAACATTGTTTTTATTTAAAAATTGTGAATAATATAGAGTAAAGTAATGCAACTATTCAAAGTAAATAATGATTATTTGTATACAACTATAAAATAATTAATTTTAATCTTAAATCAAAATTAAAATGTAATATCAAATATTAAAACAATGTTTGATAATAAAATTAGATTACCAGAATTGTTTAAAAATAAAATAAATAGAAATATTTTTATAACTTTTAATGGTATTAAAAATAACTAAAATATCTCAACTATATAATGTTAATTTATCACATTTTATTTTATTATTCCTATGGGTTTTAGTATTACCTACTGAATTTAATTATCTATTAAAAAGTTATCACTTATACACTTAACAATAAAAAAAATATTACAGAAATGTAGTTCACAAAATTGTTTAATAAAAAAAGAAATTATCGAAAAAGCAAAATCAAAACAAAATTTAATTGTTTACAATTAAAAAAATAAAAATAGTTAAGTTTGTTCAATGGGTAACAAACTGAAAAATGGCTAAAAGGCAAACAAAATATAAAATATAAGAAAGAGAGATCAAGACATGATTAAATATTATGGATCAATTATAATAATACACACCAATTATCGAATGTTTGTAAAAAGGTTTAGTTTTGACTTGGGTTCTTTATGTGAACGTGCTTTTGAAAATATATTCCAAAATCTTAATGTCTCATCTCCAGCTCCTGTTACTATGGATTCTCCGTCGGGGGACATGGACAAATATAATACCCTGAATGTATGACCTGTGAGTTTGGCAATTTGACTCATTGAAGGATATTTCCAAACAACTATTTGGTTTTGGGAATATCCGTGAGTACTAACCAACTCTTGAGTATTCCTTGACCAAGCAAGATTGCACACTTGTGAACCAGTATCGATACATTGCATTGGTTGTCCGGTTAGCGTGTTCCAAAAACGAATACATTTATCAGCGGTACCACCCCCACTAGTTAATAGACCTCTTTGATGGGGTGACCATGCAATTGCTTTCACTGCAGCTGTATGTTGGTGATATGTCAATTGTGGAGTGTATGCATGTGTATTCCATACATATAATCTATTATCATTTCCTCCAGACGCTAGGTATCTGTTATCTGGAGACCATTTTAGTCCACATACTTCTTGCCGATGACCTGCATATCGTCTACAAGTAGATAAACTTGGACCTCTCATATCTCTTAAAAATATGTTACGATCTCGACTTCCTGATGATACAACATCACCATTCCATGCAATAGCACCAACTCTACCTGCATGTCCAGTTAAACTGTTAACTTGCTTTTCTGCAGCAATATCCCATACTTCTACAGATCCTTCTTGAGTACCAAAGGCTAAATAATTGCCTTTGTCATTCCAAGCAACTGAAGTAACAACATTACCATCAGATGACAAATCACTAATTCTTGTGACTTTACTTGTAGTTGCAGACCATAAATATACACAACTTCCTAGSCCAACAGCAAGTAAATTTGAGGATGACCAATCAACTAAATTTAAATAAAAGTCATCTTGGAGTTCAGGGGCATCAAGGACTTTATAAGGTACTCTAGAAATTTTGCGAGGTATTTTTCGAGGCGATCGTAAAATTTCTTGACTTTTGGAGCCAAGAGGAGATAAAGAATAAGGAACCCTTGATTGGATATTATCAACTTGTTCAGGACTGGAGGAATAGTACTGAAATAAATTTCGTTTGGTAGCTAAACGATCTCGGTTTTTATCTTGAATACTTATTTCACCAACACTAGATCCAAGCAGTTCATTGTGAAGAATAGCTTTGTATGCATTATCTTTATTAGCTGCTTCACTTTGAAAATCTTTCTTACCATAATCTAAACCATATCTAATATCTGATATAATATTAAACCTTGCTGCAAGGTTATGTGCTTCTCGGTAAGGTATAAACCGATCAGCTCGAAAACCATTAAACTGGTCATAGGTTTGAACAGATGAACAGGGTTGATCAGTTTTAAATTTTTTAAAAGATTTTAATTGATTTKGATCATCATCAACTTCCATTTCTTCAAGTCTTTTAAAACCTAATAATGTATTTTCTTTCTCCACAGATTGTGACTTCAATTCTGATGCTACTTGCATTTGACGGTTTTTCAAAACAACATAGTCAGGACTTCTGGACAGCTGCGCCCTCAGTCTCATTGCAAATGTCGGATCCATTCCTTCATCCATTTCTGTGTCTTTATATATGCCTAACAAATAAATTCCAATACCATATAACATTTATTTATTAGGACTTAATAAATTATCTTATCAATAGGAATGGTTATACATTAATGATTATGAAATCATAACAAAATGTATTCATTTAAAAGCTAAATATCAAACAACTACTAAGTATATTAACTAATTTTACCTTATTACCAATAAATTTACAAATAAAGGCACTATATTATTTGTATTAATTTATTCATATTTGACGACATTTTATTGTTTATTTAACCAAAAATAATTTAAATTTCAAAACTTTATGGTACTTTTTTTTATATCAAAAGGTGAATTAAATTTTCAATCAATGTAAAAGGCTAAAGAAAAGGTAAATAAAACTTTTAAAATACCACTTCTACCTTAAAAAATAATTGCATACTGAAAGAGTACAATAGCTGTAATTTTTTTGCTTCTTCAAGAATCTTAAATAAATATATTTAGGTTATGCTATTTTAATAACTTTAAAAATTATAATTAAAATTCAAAGATATTATTGCCATTTAATTTATAGGCAAACATAATTAAAATTCAAAGAGATTATTGTAATTTAATTTAAAGGTACACATCACTATGATAATAATTTTGTAAACATTCTGATAATCTGGTTTATCTTAATAATTGAACTGTATATTCTTAATCTAATATGTCAGATTTATTTCCTATGTTTTAAATGCTTAAATATTATATTGGATGATAAAGTCAATTAATTTTATAATACACAGGCTACAACATGGTTTTATAGTRTAAAAATAAATGCATATAGGTACAACTTATAATAACCATATATTATAGAAACTATGAAGTTTCAAGGCAGGGCAAATGGAAAAAATGTAATGTTTGGATTTAAATGAAGGTATAGCTAATTTTGTGCATCAAAAATTTACATAACAAAAGCTATTTGAGAGTAAAAGTTGTTTGATTTTAAGCTAACAGTTTTGATTATATTTAATATTACTACAGATACTTTTATCAACTTATATACATTATACAAAATACATTGACATCAAGGCTATTAGCAATATTTAAATTTATACATCTATGCGTCTTTCAATTTATCATAATATTATAAGTAGAAGGTACTTCCCTGATCGATCTAAACAGATTATAATTCAAAGTATGATTAAATAGGTTTTCTAAAGTTAGTTAAGAATATGATTACTTCTTAGTTAAATATAGAAGTAYAACTAATACTATGCATTAATACAAAATCAATAGGTACCTAGTAAATGAGTTTTATTAAATTAATTTAACTAATTTGTAAAGGTAGGTACCTACCTAATATTAATTTAGAATAATAAAATCAATTATAGTAGGGTAATTAGAAAGATAAATAGAAAATATTAAAACTGCAATTTCATATGTATTCTGATAACCTATTAATAGCTAATTAGTTTATATCTAACTACTATTAGTTCAAGTATCCTCATAAAAAATAACTTCTCAGTAAAATTACCTAATTATAATATGCCTGAATTTATATTATTTTATAGTCAATTAACTATAAATATACATTTAGAATTTGAAATTATACCTACCTATCATAATTTAATTTAATTTCTTATAATTACCTATGTAATAAAACTCCTAAACTTGTATAGGTACCTATTGAGAAAAATATGAAAAAATACAATAATATTAATGAAATATTAGATTATCCTACTTAATTTTTTCTTATACAAAATCAAATACTAATTACCAGGCAATAATGTAAGTAATAACATTTAATAATAAAATTTTATACCACAGATTTTAATGTTAGAAATTTTTATTTATATCCTAGTTATACGAAACATTTTTATTCTGATCTAAAATACTTAGTAGTATTATTAGTATTATAATATACCTAAAATCTACAAAATGTTTTAGATACACTTACAAGTACTATGACAAAATAACACTATATAGCATTTTGTAAAATTATTAAAAATAATGATTAGGTRTAATAAATGTGTTAAACTTGAATTTAATGATAGACAATGAAAGTTTTTTAACTATTATATTAATGGGGTATATTTTGTCATATTGTATTATTAACTATCTCATTAACTTATGAATYAATATTAATTTCATATAGAACAGTGAGAATGAGTCCATGGTATAAAAAACTAATAGGAATACCTTAAAATTAACCTAAATATTTTAATTTCATTTTATACAGAAAAATGCATAGTATATTAATGAATAGATTTGTAAGTCTCCACAAGGCCATATATTATAAAATCAATGATGYCATGTAATATAAATAAWGAACTTTACAAGACATAATAGTCTAAAGAAAAAGAGTCTATAATGAAGTAACCATGGGAGATCTATCTTTAATAATGGGTAGTCAGGCAGCAGGAGGTAAGTAAATTTGTAATAACTTGCTAATAAAAAAATAAATAGTCATTCAGCGTAATGTGTGTAATGTGGCACTGAAATAATGGCGCTAAAGAACATTATTTGCTTATAAAGCAAAATGAAATAAAGAAGTTTAAAAACTAAAAAATAATAATATTTTTTTACAAAAATCTTACTCAAGTACTWATCTAGTTATAATATTTTTACCTAAAAATTTACAATAGTTCTATATATAAATAGAAAAATGTGGTTCCTTTTGTTAAGAAAAAATGTTGAGAAGAGCTTAAAGTACTTGCCTACCTACATGTTTTCAGATACCTAGGTAGGTAAGAATATAAATATTCATTTAGTTGTAAGCTTAGTTACCTAAATACTTAAGTCTATTTTAAAATAAAAGTTAGTATGCAAACAGCGAATACAGGAGTCGGTAAATTGACCTTTCGTATTGGATTTTATAATAATTACTCAAATAACAATATCTCCAAATCAGAGATGAAGCCTCGCACTGATCATCTGCTAATAGCCTTTTTGTCAAAGTTGTCAATCAAATATGATATAATTATATAAGTAGGTAAAATCGATGTACCATAAACCAACAACCATTATTGTTATTCATGGTTAAGGAGATTATAATATTATTAAAACAATATTGTAGTTTATAATTTGCAATTATTACTCACGGTTCTCAACGGTGACAAGAGTTTCGATTATTCAGCTTCGGTGTCGTCGGACTATACCTAATACGTAGGCAACCGAGTTAGAGTAACGTATGATTTGCTTATATCAGATATCGCGTCAAACGGCCCGCTGCGAACGACGTGACAAATCTAGAGGACGGATCGACATACTAATTACTAATCGCCGAGATGGAAGATCGCAAAATGTATAAATTTAAAACGACCCGACGATTGAAATAAGCATACAACGTTTCGCCACTCGCCGACCGAACAATAAAATTTGTGAACGGTAACGGTGGTGAGCGGTGACTGGTGAGTGGTGGTACAGACTACAGGCCGTACAGCACTACAGCGGACAGCGGTTAGACACTAATAGTCGGTAACGGTGGTGGAACCGAGGAAGTGGTAATCAAAGTATCAAACGTCGAACACAACTCACCAGGGCGGCATCACGTCCGCGTCGGTTACTCGGCAGCAGCTGCTGCAGTGTATTTCATTGTGCACCATCAATTTATATTATCACTGGAGTACACATTTTTTTTTTGTATAACATCCCATTCCGCATACACACAACGCACGGCATACATACCTATCGATTTTGTTCATGCTTTCCATTCTGAACACAGTGTAACCACGTCTTAGAAAAAATTGTGTGCTGTCCCCGTTTCGCGATTATTTTACGCAACACTGATCACTCCATATGAAGGGCAGGCATACTATTATCACAGATTATATGATATATGATCATATTATATTGTTCTGTGATATGATATATTTTATATAATCTGTGCTATGTGCTATTATGATTTGATATCTTTTCTGGTAATCAGCCGCGGTCGTCGGTCGGTCAAGTTTCCAGTCAATTCGTTTTTCTTATCATAACTTAATTTTCATCCAATATTCCCGAGTCCTGACTCTTGTGTCCGACGTCCGTGACATTGACACATTGTACGTCGTAAAAAAAATTCTGAAATAGCATGAAAGAATTGTTTTACCACTGTACGATTTAATCAGCATTCTGTCAAACTATTGTGTAGCATTGGTTTAACCAACGCCGATAAAATGGCTGTTTGGAGTTCACTGAAGCTGGGTTCGGCGGTCACCAAATGTCTAAGTYCAAAGAAAACCGATGTGTTAAAATCATCTGGTGAGAATTTAACTTGTTTTGTGAATCATATAGGTGTATCTTATATTCTTATAAGTACTTCGTTGACAAAAGATTTGTTAAAGTCGTTTGTTTGATGTAAGAAAGTCCTGCAATATATTTATTCTATTTTATGATGGTTAGTTCTACTTTTAGATGCAAAAATAAAATCGCCACCTCATTGATATCTTGGGGAAACACTTTAAGTTACTCTTAATCCTGCATATTTATTGTTTAAGAAGTTATGTTATTACCATTTTAGTACTTTTCCTTACCTAACCTATACATAATATACAAAAAGAATAACTAAAATATTTGAATAATTATTTTGTTTGGAATTTTAGCTGTTGTACCAACTCGTAACATGAGTGGTCATCATCTAATGAGTATTAAGGAGACTCGCTGGCAATGGACAAAGTTCAAGGATTTAATTCATTATTACGTTTTAGTCGGCGTTATTCCTTTGACTTTACTTATCTCTGGTGTTAATGTTTTTATTGGACCAGCTAAATTGGCTCCAATTCCTGAAGGCTATAGACCTGAACATTGGGAATACTATCAGGTTAGTTGATTATTTATTCTAATGATTTTTTATTTCTAATTCATATTATTAAACATAAACAAACTTATAAGTGTAGAAAACATAAACTAGTTTTAACTTTTAACATTTATATTAAAAATTTACAACTATATATATTTTTTAAATAGATACAGAAGCACAAACAATTGTATTTACAGGGGTAAATCCWGTAGTTTACTTGCCGTCACCGATTAACTATCATTAATCATTAAGAATTGTATTCTATGAGTTTATCAGTACAAYATTACATTTATAATATAATTATTAATATATACTTAATACATAGTTCTATAAACCTTTACATACATACCTACCACCAGTGCCATAACTAGAGGTTGGCGACATGGGTKCTTGCCAAGAGCGCAATAAAGTAGAGGGTGCATTTTAGTTAAATTAAAATTAGTTTTTATCTATAATACTTTTTGTTTCTCATATATTATTTAAAATTTTATTAAAATTAAGCGTAAATGTGTAATGCACTAACACTACATATTGAATTGTTCCTTRATGATGTTTATTAGTGTTTACTACGATAACATTTATATTATACACTGATTTATAGTGTTATTTTGATTAATATATAAGAATGTTATATTATTACATTTATATATTATATAAAAATTATACTAATAAAATWAAATTAAAATAAGTGCCAAAATAAAATTTGCCATGGAGAGTAGTTACAGCACTGCCTACTACACAAATTATTTTTTTAGGGTGGCAATATGCATTTGCGCCGCAAATTAGGTACCTAATATTAATAACTTAACTATTAATATTAATAATACATAACTTTTAAGTATTTTATAATTTCTATGTATTCCTTATAATTTGGAGTGTTGGCATTTAATTGTCATACTAAGTTATAAATGTAATGGCTTTAATTATATGCATTTACATATTCATACTAAAAATGACGTAAGATTTTGAAATGTAGGTGCTAAATATTAAATTGAATTCATTCATCAAATTTTATTTTGCATATTTCATTTTCTTAACCCTTTCACTGCTCCAGATCATATTTCTATATTTTATAATATCRTTTGCGAGTAACCTTAAGCGTGCKTATGGGATATGTAGGGTATACTTTGTGGGCAGATGCTTGATGCAGGGACGGCGCGAGGGGGGGCAATCGGGGCAGTTGCCTCGGGCCCTGCAATTTTAAAATTATAATCAAGGCYMMKCAGTTCTTAAATKATATTTTATACTGTTCAGAGATTAGTTAGTTTGGATAATATGTAATTATTGCCCGGGTAAATGGTAATGTGATATCAATATAAAGTATGGACTTATTTTTATATTCATTGTGGACGGTTCTCAATACTCAATAAGGAAATATGGGTTTTATTTTTAGTGTAGGAATTTACTATTTATATTTTCCTACAAATGTTAATAGTTACAGTTTTAATTTCACAATGTCTAAATACTGAAAATTCTTATGTTTATTATAATAGTTGAATAATTGATACTAGAATAAATTAAATCTAGTCTACACTAAAATAATAGCCAGCATGACTGACCAGTGAACACTGATAAAAATATCTTTACCAAGCGTTTGTAATCAAGTTGCAGTGATGACCCCAAAGTGCCTAGAATCTAGATARATGCATTTTTATTGAAATTGATAGAGAGGATGTAATCAAAGAATTTAAAGTCCTTATACCAGGAAATAGAAAGCTTGAGTTATAACCATTATGTATGATATAAATTTTCATTTCAATTAACATGTTTGTATAAAAAATGCTTTTATTCAAAAAAATATGGAAACCTATTTTTATTCCAATAAAAATTAGTAACTAGAAGTTTAAGATGAAATGTCATGCTCATTAATTTTAGGGTCATTTATATCTGTGGAAAAGAAACATATTTTATCTGCCGCATACCCTGAAAACAATGTCTTCKTATGCCTATGCCAGTAAACTTACAATTATAGGTAACATTAGCTCACATTATTTTAAACAGTGGCGAACCCAGGGTTTTAGTACTGTGGGTCTGCCTCACTTACAAGAGGCCACTGTGACTGTGTAGAAGGTTCAATCAACTGTACATTACAAAATCGCTCGCTACGCTC